GGATCAAAGTCTGTGTAATCCCACAGCGCCTCTTTCCAGAGTGCTTTGCTGTCCTAAACCACAGCGAATATTCAGATTAATGATCTAACCAGCAGCCCCGCCCCCTGCTGCCTTTAGGCAAACCTGAATTTTGTGCTAAAAAAGTTGCCTTAGCATTCCTGATGCTCAGCTTTTGTCTAAGTGACTAGTATATTCTGGTAAGTTCATTTATGGAGCCCAAGTTTTCCTTTTATCTTCTTTCAGAAAGTGTAAGTTATGGACATCTAGAGAATGAGTTGGTGATGCAAAGCCATTAGAACCATTAGCTTTGACTCCAGTCAAACCAAATAAACAAATCTCAGTTCAAAAGGCAGAGGAGAGCTGCTTTCCCTGCCTTTTAAGGTTTCTGAGCTCCCCCCGTCATACTCCGTTGTTTCGCTGTTCCGCTCACTCTCCTTCCGCAGGCCAGAGGCAGTAGCACTGGCGCTGTTACTACTCCCTTGCAGAGCCCTGGGTGTTGCCGAGTTGGAGCCAGGAAGGCCACCGTGATGCGGCTCTACCCAGTACCCCTTTGCTCTACCCCAAAACCTTCTCACCATCTTAGCTTGCTGCTGTCAGATGAAGAGAGCTAGTTGCCCAGAGAGTGTAAATCACCCCAAATCCATCACCACTTGGGGAAACGTATCGTGAAGCAGTAATGAGGATGACCACTACACTCATCAGATGCTTGCTGTGCCCAGGATGCGACTCTCAGCGCTGCTGGGGCCCTGCCTCGCTGCACTCTCAAGATGATCCTATGGGATGGAGACCCCGTGTGCCCTGTTTCACCCACAAGGAAACTGAGGATCAGAGAGGATGAGAATCTCCCCCGAGTGCTATGGCACAGGCTGAAGTGGGGTTAAGTCAGTGCTGTGCAGGGTACTCGCTGGTTCACTCATGAGCTGGCATCTGTTGACTTTTTGCATTCTAGTACGTGCCATGTGTGGATGCTTTTCATAAATCAGTAAAAACAAGCTCCTATCTTCCTCAGTTTCACATCATGAGTGCTGCTGGGAAGGAAAGGAAGCGGCTGCCAGCACACTGCGTAGTGCAGCACACCACAGTGTGTTACTAGAGCCTAAGGTGGCTGCACGAAGGAAATGGGCGGGTGAAGGAAACTGGGGGTGGGAGAGGGCCTCCACTGCCAAGTGGCCAGCCTTGACCTTGTGGGGAACTTGACATTTGGACCACGGTTTAAAGGAAGTGGGGGCCTGAGCTTTGAGGATCCAGATAGCCCGATGCTGTTTTAAATGTGTTAATAAACAGAGGTGAACACCGTTTGTACTTGCCTTAGCTCAAACTGCTATAAGAAATTATCATACATTGTGCAGGTTGCAATCTATAGACATTTATTTCTTGCAGTCTGGAGGCTGGAAGTCCGAGGTTGGGGCCAGCATGGTCAGGTTTCTGTACTGCAGCGCCAGCTTTTTATGGTGTCTACACACAAGTCTCTCCCCCGCCACTTTTCCTTTTCCTTTCCACATACACACACTCCTCTTCTTGCTTCTTTGTAGTACTGAGGTGTGAATGCAGGGATGCCCTACCACTGACCTGCACTTTGAGACAGGATCTCACTGGATCACACTTGCAGTCCTGCTGCCTCAGCCTGCTGAGTAGCTGGGATTATAGGAATGCACCGTGAGTGCATTAATCTTGTTCCTGAGGTGATCTAGACGGCCCCTACAGCCTCCTCTCATTGACCTGATTACCTCCTGTAAGCCCCACCTCCAGATACTCTCACACTGCCGTTGGGTTTCAATCTGTGAATTTTGTCGAGACACCAACAGCCCCGTTATGGTTTGGGTGTAGTTGTCTCCCCAAAGCCTCATGCAGTCGTGGGGTGGCTTCTAGAGTTTGTGATTGATTCATGATCCAGTGCTGGGCTTCCGGGTGCAAGTGCTACTGGGATTATAGGAATGAGTGCTACACCCAGCCTGGGGCGGTAGCCTGCCTGTAACGTAAGGGAGGCAGACTTGCTCTCTGTTTCCATTTTGTTGTTGCTACTCCTCCCATTTGCTCTTGCGCTCTTGCTCTTTGCTGCAGCCATGAATAGTTTCCCTCTGCCATGTGCCACTCTGCCTTGGAGCCAGCTGAGCGTGGACTGGAGTGTCCACTGACTGTGAGCTAAGTAAACCTTTCCTTCCTTCATTTTTGGTGTCAGGTATTTGTACCACCAATGAAAGAAGAGTAACTGAGACAAACACTCAATCTCTTTTGATGTGCAAGGACACTGGCTATTATTTTAAGCAAAGTACTACATTATCATCCGTCTTCTGTAGGCTGGAAAAAGTCACTGGGAATAGTTGGTGCCCAGATTCTTTGCTAA